GGCTAACGAGATTCGCGAGAGCTGCCTTTGACCAAGAGTGTATAATTATTTAAATTAGGATTCCTCGTCGGAAGTCAAGTGCATATCTGGTTAAAGTTTTATTTGGGATGCTGAAGTTAGACTCTAGACAGTTTGGGATGGCTGTGGTCTAATCGAATTTTGCATTAATCGATCAAGTGCAAACAGACGCGCATTAAGCCGCTTCTTGAACTACTATCGGCTCAAATCATCGTTTTATCCCATTGTTATTAGGATGTAAATAGGAGTTATTATTGTATTTCATGTATGCAGATATAACTAAGCATTCGAGGTCAAAGAAGTACGATATCGTCCTTAACCCATCCATTTAAGAAGCTACTTGATATATACCAGACTTGCAACAGCGCTTAACAACGCCAGAATCATAATTGTCATAACTAAAATAATATTTAAAACAATCGGTTTTTGTTATTTGTACGCTTGACAGAACAACTTTAAACCCCACGTGTCAAAAATTGGCTTAAACACCGTCAACTTCACAGATTTTTAGGCATATTTTAATCTAAATTAATTTACTTTGTAGATGGAGATGACTTTCCATATCACTCATAAGATAATGAAGGAAACAAGTTTTTGTTTGCGTTTGAAAAGAGAAGGGAAAAATATTTTCACTATTTGATAGAGATAAGGTTACAGTTTGATAAAAGTAATCACTTAAATCAATCTCAGAAATGCAGGGGCGTAAAATAGAACAATTTGAGTTGGGAAAATTTCCTTGGTATTAATCCAATTTTTCGATAGTTAGACCGTTTAGTTAGAGTAATGAGAGAAAAATCTAATTAACAATATCACATTTTACTGAATAAAATTATTATATCCAGTGAAGTTAATCATTTTGGTCTGCATATGCTCGCTGTTTTAGGTTTTTTATACGCATTCGGCCTCTTCAGTAGTACGATCAAGGATATAAGTTGGTTGAGGCTATGGCACAAGAAAAATTTCCCCCAATATATTAAGGCTTTTTAGTAGATTGAAAGAACCGGGTCCTCGGTATTTATCGTCAGAGGGTTTGCTATCTTCATTGGTTTGATTAAGAATATAATGGTGAGGGTAAGATACAAGAAAAATTCTTCAACCCAAATATTGAAGGCTTAGTAGCATATTGAGAGAACCTGTTTCGGCTTTTACCCCATCGTCAGAGGTTCGTATAGGGTATAAGTTAGGCAAGTACTCAAGGAAAACCCCTTCCCCAGTATTTTAAAGGTTTTGTAGCATTAAATTCATTAATTTCGTGGTCCGATTGACCAATTAATGTATTAAAATTAATTAAGGTTTTTTGTTGAGATAAAAAAGTCAATCGCACGAGCGGGATTCGAACCCACGATCTTCGGCTTGATACGCCGCTGCTCTACCACTTGAGCTATCGCGACCTCGATCCACTCGGACACCAACTTCCCATCTCAACTGCACCTCTTGAATTTTCACTTGTGATCGTGGGTTCGAATCCCGCTCGTGCGATTGACTTTTTTATCTCAACAAAAAACCTTAATTAATTGTTTTGTAGCATATTGAGAGAACCTGGTCCTATCATCAGTATTTCTCGCCAGAGATGTTTCGGCTTTTACCCCATCGTCAGAGGTTGGTTTAGTGTATAAGGGATGGTTAGGCAAGTACACAAGGAAAATCCCTTTCCCCAGCATTTCAAAGGTTTTGTAGCATATTGGGAAAACGGTCCTATCCATTGTGTTTCTCGTCAGACCTGTTACGCCATCATCGGTGGTTGAACAAAGATAAATGCAAGGCAAGACAAGGCAGCAAGCAAAATTCCCTCAAAGATATAAGGCTTTATGAGACAACCCAATCCTCTGTTTCTCGTCATGTATGTTCCGGTTTTTTCCATCTTCAGTGGTTGGCTGAGGATATAAACAGGGTGATGCAAAGCCGTGAAGATGGGACGTCTGACAGACCAAACGGAAACGATCAACCTCAGTTACGAAGAAATCACACAATTCAATTGGTACAAGTTGAATGCTTAAAAATCGGGCTTTAAATTTAATTTTATCCAATTGAATGATATCCAGTGAAGTGCGAAGCGTCTAAAAATTTTGTGTTCGGTCGAATATGACGAAACGCATTGTTAAATTGGCCTCAATAAAGAGGCAGGCACTCGTTGTTTGCTCCCTAACTAACATGAGCTCTTCAGAGTAAAAATAACTTTTATAACCCAAAACTGTCATACACAGGTGAATAGTGTTATCAGACTGATGAGCATGTAAAAATAGTTGGGCTGTACATACTAATATATGGCGATTTTTAATTTATCTTTAATTCATTGCCTAGCAACGGCTTCAGCAAAGTTTATCCTCTGGGTATATAAAATCAGTCGAAGATATAGTTCTATCTTAGGGATAGGGATAAAAGAGGTCGGCCACAAGACCTCATGAGTAGATCTGTTGTGTTTTATATAACTAACTGGCCAGCTTCAGGCTGTTAATCAACCTCCACAGCCTTGCCAGAGGCTCCTTAGTGTAGCGTCTTGATTTGGTTTTTCCTGTCCTAGTGTAAGAACTTGCACCTACATAGACCTTCACAGGAACGTAAAAAGGTTCTGCGGTCTCCTCTTCCTGGCAGTATCTGCACAGTGTTCCTTCTGTCTGTACTCCTATCCGGCGCATGTGCTTTCTTAAGTGGCAATGCCCTGTCAGGATTCCAACCAGAATCCTGGTTCGGTTGCGGTTGCCTTACAGTATTTATTTGTAAGTTTTGCAGATGGCCCTTCTATGAACCTCTTCGCGTGCTTCATGCCTGTGGAATTGTTATTGTAATCATTAAGGATCCATTTTAAGATGTATACTGTTTTGTGGCAGGATGCTGAGCCACAGAAGGGTTCAGGACCCTGAAAGTCCATGTTGGCCAAGGACCCAGGCCAGGGCAGGTCATTTGTCAATGACTTTCGTCAGAGCCTCCATGCAGTTACAAACACTCTTTGTCTTCTCCTCACATGAGGCTACATTTTTGTCCATATTATTTTCGTTTTACGCTTTTTAATCACTAAATTAATAGGCTTTATTTCTCCTCAGTTTCTGTTTTCAACTTGTTTAGTTGTGTTGTGAGCTGTGTTTGGTACGAATGCAATAAATGTTTGTAATGTCCAACGTTATTTTGTTCGATTTAGAGAAGGAAATATCGTTTTTGAAGACATTGTGAGGCATAGGCTAAGGAAAATCCTTTTTTTGACGGCCCGAGAACTAGGAGAGATACAGATGTTAAATGTTTCCCATACAACCATTAGAAATCTCATCCAAAGACTTGGTTTAGTCTGAAAGAACGCTACATGGTTGCCACACGATCTCAGTAAAAGAAATTTGGCGGATCAATTTGTTCTTCATTACTCTGTCGTCACTCATACGACCCATTTCTTCATAGACAGGTGATGAAACATGAATCACATTCAAAACTATAGCCAGCAAAAAAAAAGATTCCCAACCCAATCAACGAACCCAAGTTGTTCCAAAACAACGCAAAAAAAAAACGTATGCTGTTCATTTGATGGGACTGATTTTACCCCTTGCCAAGTGTACGGTACCACAAGGGCAAACGTTTAGTAGTCGTACTATGAACAGCTAACCCGTTTAGACCTTCAAATAAAGGAAAAACGGCCTACACTAGCAAACATAAAAGTTATTTTTTATCACATCCGGACGTTTCACCTTGTGTCTACTTCTTTCCATCAATTAATTATTCTTTCTAAGATCTTGGTTGAGATGAAAAAGTCAGTGTCAAGAGCGGGATACGAACCCACGACCTATGGCTCAATACGCCGCTACTCAACCACTTGAACTATCGTGACTTCTATCGTCTCGGACACCAACTCTCCATCTCAACTTACAACCGTCCGAATTTCCCTATTTCTGCCATTTTCAACTAACTTGTGACTATTTATTTCGGTGATTACAAAAATTTTAAATGGCCACAACTTTTAATTTTCGAAAATGTTCGAACGTTCCTGAACTCAAAAGATCGGAATTTTATGCGAAAGATGCTACCCGAAAGATGGCAGAAAGTAATACATCTCCTAATAGTCAAAAACATGCTAGGTATTACAAAAATAAAAATATATACTGTAAAAAAAGTCATTATTTTCTTATCAACCCAAAGTTGAATTTTGTGATACGTTCTGTCCAAAATCAGTAATGACGTTTCAAAGTCGGCTATTTTTTTCTTTCTAAAATGGTTCGGCTCTTTAAGTTAAAGGAAATGTCTTTCCCTGTACCTCTGTATGGTATACATGGTGCGCCGTCTTTCTAAGCTAAACCTATTCGACGACGGCTTCATTTATGCCCGAATTCAGCAGTAAATTTACTGTAGCGGGACGAGGAAACAGAGCCTTTCTCATTGTTGAATGAAGCTCCATTATTAACCGGCCTTGGTATAAAATTTCACTCCGCAGTTCTCTTCACTGTGTGACGGGCCATTCTAAATTGTTATTCCCACGCTTGGACGGTAAAATTACCCATCATTTTTTCATTTCATATTTTATCATTTCTTCGAAATTCCGAGCTTAGACGCAAAATTATAAAGTGCGATTTCGTGCTTGTAACGTCAAAAGAACCGTATATTTAAAATACTCACGAATCGACTAGTTTTTACTATATTCCTGGCAGAAAGCCAGTCGTACAGTGAAATATAATGCAATTTGAATTTGTATTCCTACTCGTTTAAAAAAACGACCCTCTCTAGAACAAGAGAGGTGATGGTTGCGTGCCTGTGCAACATTTCCACTGTCTACATTATTCAAGGCACGCAGAACGGCTGTGCAGCTACTGTTTGAGCTGGGAAATTACTCTGGGTGGTCTCTCGTGTCCTGAAGAGTCATTGTAACCGGCGAAACCAGACGGACCGATTGACATATTTTAGTTTAGACTATATCCAAGTTGCACTACTGATATTACAAATACTCATTACAATTCATGATAAATATTTAATTAAACGAATATTTGACAATGTCTTTTTTTTTCCAGCTCCAGTCGGCGTAAAGAGCGATAGAGTGCAAGTATGAATGAGTTGGACAGTTTACGTCAAGAAGCTGAAACTCTCAAAAATGCAATACGAGTAAGTAGAAAAAAAACATCAAAACATAAACATATCCTAGGCATAAATCCTACTTTTATTCAAATAAAATCAGTTTTAAGAAATTTTTAATCAAGAATACAGAAGAATCTTGTACATAATATATAAATATGAAATTTTACACAATTCATTTAGTTTAGCCTCCTATTTTTCACTACCAATTATTTTTCTAGTGTAGTTGTATTTATTGGCTGGCATTAATTATATAGAGTTTTATTGACAAATTAGGCTGATTTCCTAAAACAAAACCCTACATATCTACATTGAATTTTTTTAAGGGTATCTTTTTTGTGGCAATTTAAACGAACGGCAAAAACATACTTGAAAAATTGAGCTCATAAAACATGAACATTGTAAAATAATAAAATAATTAACACATTTACAATTACAAATACCTTTGAAGGTTTAAAAAGTTCAAAAGGTTTTATCTTCACCTAAATTTGTTTTTGTTTTGCATTTTTTTTTCTTGAGTATTTTTTATTTCAGTTTGTTTGCAATCGAGTGATAACATTTCATTTTATATTATAAATAGTGTCCTTAGTGACGTATATAATTTCTACGTATTCTACGTAAACTAATTTTTTTATTATTATTTAGAAATGATAACCCCTCTAATATTATCTTGAAATTTCGTTATCAGATAGAATTTTATTTGAACACATCATCCGGTGGAATCCGAGACCCGTTTTTTGCTTAAGAATAAATATTGTTATATTAAAAATAAAGCTGGGCTTTTATCCGGGAAGAAGTAATTGCGATGATCCCACTCTTATGGGGTTTTTAATTTTTACTCTTCTTTCTGAATTCTTTAGTGATAATAACGCACCAATCCAGTAAACAAAATAATCATGGTTGAAAAAATATATTAAACATGGATTACTTTTCTATAGACATTAAATTTTAATTGTAAGACAAACTGTAATAATAATTTATAATTAAAACTCGATGATCTGTATCGGATTGATTCATTAATACATATTCCGATTGCAGTTTTAATTTTACCAAACTAGAAACCTTTACGACGAGTAAGTCAGGTTTTATTTATGACTTAGAAGGTAGGACTTAAAATAGAGATGGTTTTGGTTTAATAATATTCTGATTTAATAATATTTTAATAATATTCTAATTTAATAATATTTCTGCAAAATTGTAAATACAACAGCACCGATTTCTGCCAAATCACTTTCACAGAAACGTGTTGTAATTGTATAAATCGACAGTAATTAGTGAACCACTTTTTCATAGACATTTTTGAATTTTAAATCGGGAGCGTTTGTTTAATAAACTTTTTCATGGTAAATTTGAAAAAATGACTACTTGTAAAATCAAATCACCAACAGCAATGCGGTCTCTTAAATTTGTGGTGCTTAACGAGCGTCGCACCCAAGTAAGGTTAAACTCACAACTTCCTTTAAATGGGCCACCCTTAAGCCCAGAGTGCGGCGAACATCACCCACGTGTCTCTTTACCCAGTTGTTTCTATTCGTTTTTAATTTCATCATTACCGGGTAAATTATTATACATACTAGTTTTTTTAATATATTGGCCTACAGGCTTGTAGGCTTGTAGTTTTATTTGTTCTCTCAATGTATCTTCTTGAAAGTCATAGAGGTTAGATTATTGGCAGGATATCCCAGGCTGGATATTGCCAATATTAAGAAAATCGAGGCTGCCGAGTAAGCCATTTCAGGCCCTAAATGGGAGGGAATATTATCTCGCTTCCTGCGCGTAAAAGGTTTGCTGTTGGTGACAGTTTGAAAACGAGCTGGAAACGAATACCAGAAGCTGCAGCTAAATCACAGATAAGAGTCAGATAGAACCGTCACATATCAGATCGTGGCCGATGGCAAATCAATCAGGGCCCGTTTTTATTGAAAACATTTCGCAAAACAAATTATTCCCCCGAGTCCAGACAATTTTAACATGAAGGTTATTGTACTTGATTTGGACGCGCAATAATCGACGGAATTCGGCTTAACGAAGTGTTCGATTTTTGATCAATTTTTCACTATTTTCGACATGAATCACCCGAACAAGAAGTTAAAAGCAGAAATGGATCCAAGTTTTGATAACTTGGCGAGATTAGCCAGCCGCTAGCAGTGACGTCAACAATCCATCACTGCCACGGTTTTGAAATAGTTAACAAGCGTTTCCGATGAAAGTTTCTATTTTTGCCATTAGGAAAATGTTCTGGAAGGCGAAAATATTTCAGACGGTTTTGCTCTTCCGATCTAGTCTTTAACACCGTGACAAAGCACGTTCGCTTTATTGTTTTAACATGGACATCGATCGATATTCAGTTTGCTTAAATACAAAAGAAAGAAATAATTTCACATTTTTTTCATCTTTAAACCTTAAGAATTATTTATATAAACGGGAGTGAGAAGAACGATGTCCATCCTCCAGGTGTCATGGACGACAAGTCGACTACAATAGAATACGAGCTCATACTCGCTAAATTCAGCACACGATTAAACTATTTATGCTGTTTTTCTCGTCGTTTCTTTTTTCGGTTTATGAATAGCTACATCTGGGGGGACAATGTCGTTAATGTCGCTACCGATTAACTATGCCGAATAGAATTTCAAAAACACGTAAAACACGATTAGGCTAAACTCCAGTTATACACGAATATCATAATTATCATGACAATAGCTCCCACGGACGGGGCCGAGCCTACGTCGAAATTCTAAACTTGTTTCCCTCGATTCCAATCAATTTTCAACTTGTCAGACATGGACGCGGACCGGATGCGATCGATTTTGGCCAAACTACTGCCAACAGTTCAATGACTCGAAATTCTCGAGAGCGAATTGAAATTTTCAAAATGAGACCATATTTTCAAATCGCTATTTCAAATCGAGTATCCTATATTATACAAAAATGATAAATTCAAAATTTCATATTTGGATTTCAAATTGAAAATTGTATCTCGAACCAGCAATATAAATCGGCCCTTTTACATATTCACTTAAAATGTCTTACGTAGGAAATCGTCATAAAAATTAAAAATTCTATATATTACAAAAAAATGTACCGAATGTGAATTTACGTTATAATTCATGGTATTGTCCTCGACTGTGCATCAACAAGGAGCTACCGACTTCCACTCACGTCAGATATTTTGGACTATGCCTAGAGAGACGTGGAATCTTCTCACAAGACTTAAGAGACAACGTAACACAAGACATCCTCTACAATCAGGCTGGCGTCCCACAGGGGAGCATTCTTGGTCCAATCCTGTATGGCTCTGAACCTTATCCAAGTAACCTTCGACAACAAAGACTCCTTGAGCTATCAAACCCTGGTGTAAAAATGTTGGATAAGCCTAATTGAATTGAAAAATGGTTTTGCCTCCCACCCCCACATTAACAAGGTGGTACCGACTTCTACTTAAGTCAGATACTCACGCCTATACCTAGACAGAAGACTGAAATGGAATCCCTACAAAGATTCAAAGAGTTCAACTTAACAGAAGGCATAGGCCTATACCTAGACAGAAGGCTGAAGTGGAATCCATACAAAAGACTCAAAGACATCAATTTAACAGAAGGCATTCTGTATAAACGCTATCTACCCACAACTTATTACCTCATCCGTGAATCCTATTTAACTGACAGCTGCTTCAAAGGTGCGGCAACGTGTGCCCCGATATCAGACAGTCAGGCTGACGCGTCCCAAAATGGGATCGCTCTTGGTCCCATCCTTTGAACCATTTATACTGCTGACTTTATACATCCCATCACCAACATTGCCGGATGACACCACGATTATGTCCTATAACCCGAATCCTATCCAAGCATATTCCAATTTCCAAGGAATAGAGCAAAAAGCCGAGAACAATAACGAATGAGGAAAAACGTAACGTGACTTGCCCTGTACGGTACATCAGTAACAAGGTGCTACCGACTTTCACTCAGTTCAGATACTTAGGACGATACCTAGTGTCCCTCCTCACAATAACACGACTTGGCAAAAGATTTGTACAACTTCTAAGTATTTTAGGGCCGAAATCTCCTTTGACCGTCAAAATTCAACTAATTCTACACAAGATATTATTGCGATCACTTTGGACATACGGAATGGAACTGGTGTTCTGCCAAACTATCCAATATCCAGCTCATTCAATCCTTCCAGTCAACATTCCTCAGAAAAATCCTTACTTAATCACTAATTTCGATAACCACAAAGATTAAACTTTCCTTTTGCCCTACGGTAATGCCCGTGACAGCACATATTTGTAATATGCATTTTGATATGTAGAGAGGCTGTAAGTGAATTATTTAAAAAAAATGCAAAATTGAATCATGAAATGATCTAAATTCCACATTGCTTCGAAATTTCTGGTTGTCTTGTTAGTTTAGATATGAAACCAAATTTACATATTTTTAATTTGTAATTTCATATTATTGAAAATTTCAAAATGTGTTTTTAAAATTAGGATAGAAAAAAAATTCCTAAAATCCTTTGAAAATTTAGTCTCGTTTCATAATGGTATAATTCAAATCGAATGTTTAATAAGGAAACAAATTTTCAAATTGCTCTAGAATTGATTTTTGCATTGTCACGAAAAGGGAGTATGAAATCAATGTTCCTTATAATCAAAAATTCTTAAATTTCCTTTGAGGAATTGCCTCAGATATTTCTGATCAAAAGTTAAAAATTCAAGTAAATTGAAACTTTTAAATGAAACAATTATATTTTGTCCAGTAAATTTGCAATTACGTGTAATCCAAATTTTTACATATATTGTTGATGTTTTTTTATTGGCCTTGAAATTTCAATTATCTCAGGTTTCACGGTTTTATGGAGGCCCTTTTTGCCAATTTTGGTTTATGGGTTAACTCCATTCCAAAATTCAAAAATGCCTGTAAAATGAAAATTTTTACCATAATGAAATAAAAATTGTAAACCCCAATTCTAAATTCTTCTGGTATTTCAGATTGTCTTATAAAGTTACATTTTTACGGAAACATTTATAT